GGCCGGGGCCGGGGCCGGGGCCAAGGCCAAGGCCAAGGCCGCCTGTTGCACAGGCACCGGCCAGCTGCGAGGGCGAGCGCTGAGCTCCCGCTCCTTCGCGCCCAGCACACCCCAGAGCTCTGACTCCAGCCAGACGCTCACTGCAGCCTGGCTGTATTTCTTCTACTCAAGGCCCTGGAAAAAAATGCTTTTCTACATTCATAAGAAAATATGGAGCTGGACTCTTGCCAGCAGTGCCCACTGATGGGACAAGACGCAATGGGCACAAATCGATTAACTAACGCGTGTGCTGGTTTTGGCAGGGAGAGTTAATTTTCTTCACAGTAGCTAGTATGGGGTCATGTTTTGGATTTGTGCTGAAAGCAGTGTTGATAACACAGGGGTATTGCAGTCACTGCTGAGCAGTGCTCACACAGAGTCAAGGCCTTTCCTGCCTCTCACCCCACCCCAGCAGCGAGCAGGCTGGGGGGCACAAGAAGCTGGGAGGGGACACAGCCGGGACAGCTTACCCCAGCTGACCAGAGGGATATCCCACACCATATGGCCTCATGCTCAGTGTATAAAGCTGGGGGAAGAAGGAGGAAGAGGGGGACATTTGGAGTGATGGCATTTTGCCATCCCAAGTAACCGTTACGCGTGATGAAGCCCTGCTTTCTGGAGATGGCTGAGCACCTGCCTGCCGATGGGAAGTAATGAATTAATTCCTTGTTTTGCTTTGCTTGCGTGTGCGGCTTTTGCTTTACCTGTTAAACTGTCTTTATCTCGACCCACCAGTTTTCTCACTTTTACCCTTCTGATTCTCTCCCCCACCCCACCGGGGGGGAGTGAGCGAGCAGCTGTGTGGTGCTCAGTTGCCAGCTGGGGTTAAACTATGACAACGTGTCCATCTGAACACAAGAAAACACTTTGTTTTTTCCTGCAAGGGTGGTCAAATGCTGACACAGGTTGCCCAGGGATATTGTGGAGTGTCCATCCGTGGAGATGTTGAAAACCCAATTGGGCGTGGTCCTGGGCAACCTGCTCTCGTTGACTCTAAGGGGACTGGACTAGGTGATCTCAAGAGGCCCCTTCCAAACTCAACGATTCTGTGATTACATATTAAGCATTATATAATAATATTAAGCATTATAAAAAAGAAGTTATTGCTGAAAACCTCTCAGTGAATAGGTAAAACCATCAACTGTAAATGTTTGCAGATATTTAAAGTGTTAGCCAAAGATGACTCTTCTGTCCTGCACATGACCGAAGAAACAAACATACCTTTTTTACAACTCCTGCACTAGCCGCAATGGTCTCTGCTCCTTCTACAGTCTTGTTTGCCACTGTGTTCACGCTGGCTACTACGGCTTCTCCCACCGCATTGGCCTGCTCTTTGGTCTTCTCAGCAACTGGGATTTCAACAAAAGCAGAAAGTCAATGAGCTAGGCACTGCCAAAAGGCTGCCAAATTCACTGGGACAATAAAATGACTGCATCAAGGTAAGATATCGGACCTGGTACAGTCCTTATTTGGATTTTTTCTGTGAGATAACGTCTAAATTTAAATCATGTACATGAGGGTTTTGTCTCAGAGAGCAGCACTGCAGCCTGTCAGTCTTTGTGGGCAACTGGAAAATGAAAAATTCACTGTAAGACACTAAGAGACAATTGTGCAAATAAGGTATTTTGTATTGCAGACTGTGTATGATCTCTCTCTGGGCACCTTCTGTTTGATTTAATACGCCTGGGGGCAGAGGGGAGAAGTAACGTAGTCATGAAATTCTCCAGGGAAAGGATTCATCCATCTCTCTTCAAGGCAGTTCAGAAGGCTGCCCAGCTTTGGAGCTGAGCATACCTAGAAAGGTCCCTTAGGGTCCCTGACTCTGCGACTGCCTGACAGGAACTGATGCGACTAAATCCCCTCTGCATGCTGGGTGGCACTCTTGGCATTGTGAAATGTCTAAATTACTGTGAATCATCAGAGTCTGCCAAGTAACATTTGTTAGTCTTTTCGACCTGCTCTACTGATTAAATATTTTCTCCCATCCACGTGCACTGCAAATGCCAGACCCTGAACCACCGCTCCTGGCAAGCATCCTCCATTCATCAAATGGAAGGTCACACAGATAAACGGTGTCCCCTAGAGACCTTCCATTTGGCAGGAACAATGGCCTTATCAAGAGGTCCAGCAACACATCACAGATTTCCACATCCCTCTCAGGGCCGTGCTCTTACCTGAGGTCACACTTTGCACTACACCTTCCTTGGTTTTGGTACCTGTGAAAGGAAACACACGGTCCATCAGTGCTACCTGGCAAAGAACCCTCTGGTTTCTGGAGACGTATGGCTTTCTGTTCTTACTAGGTGCGGTGGGGAGCCATGGTGCTGCCGGCGCCTCCTGCTAAGACAGAAGCCATTTGTAGAGGCAGCAGAAGGGACCAGCTTCCTTCCCTAGTGAAGTCAATGAGTACCTTTGTGTTGGGAGTTGGATAACTCCAACTACAAATTGTCTGGAGATGCCTTGACCTGAAAAATCTTGATTACAACATGCTGAAGTAGGCAAAATCGTCCCTGAAATATCTCCAAAATGAAAAGAACAGGTGAGCGGAGGTAAGTCAATGTTAAGCTAATTGTAAAAATGAATGTAGATTAAGTGACCTGGTGAAATCTCACCTACTTCAGTCTCTCAAGACGTGGAGTCCCACCTGTGACTCTCCCCTGCCTTTTAGCAGGATACTTGGCTGCAGTGGTCATTTAAAGTTTCATTCTATACCTCTAATAAAGACCCTGGAGAAACTTGAGGCTGAATTTACAGAACAACCTACATACCTACTTACTAGATTCCCATTTTGGTGCCTCAGCCTAGGTTGTAAGTGCCTGCTCGCAGCAATACACAGAATGCAGATGTTTTTATCTCAAATTATGAAAGTACACCATATGTATGCTTACATTGTAATTTATCTTGCTGTTCTCAAGGCAGAAAAGCTAACAGGATGTGAGGGCATTCAGTTTGCAACACAAGTAGTCCTTAAGGAATAATTAATCTCTGTGGTTTTCCCCCAAGCTTGAAGTGACCTGCTATACATTCCTTCTGTTTGCATACTGCAGCACATATGTTAAATCATATGGTAGATGGGCAGCCAGCCCCCACAGTAACTAGATGCTTTTTCACATTGCAAAAATAAAGGATCAAATTTCTCTCTGTTGAAAGTTAAATAAACACGTGCCATAAATAAACATGTTCCACTGGTCCCACTTTACTGTATTTTGTAAATGATCTGCACCTATACAGGCTCTTTGCAAGTTTCCCATACTGATACAACAAAAGGATTTTTATGGCCAGCTGTCAAAATGAGAGAAATAGAGAGCCAGGCAGTTCCTTAACTCCAGAGGTACCAGAGCATCCCTGGGTGTGGTGGGAGAAAACAGCTACAAACCACATCTCATTAACAGCCTAAAAAGCAAAACAGGTGCAGCACCCTGATAATAACAGATCCAGCCCAGCTCTGTTCTGCCTGATAGGTTATGTATTATTCAACGTAATTCTCAATTGTGATTTATTTTGGTGGTTGCAACAGTTGCCTGGGGCAGAACAAAGCTGTTCTACTACAATATGCCCACAACATTTCACTCCACCCTCCCGAACTGTGTTAAAACTGAAGAAATGAAATCTTTCTACTTTATACTTGTTACTGCTGTAAACTGCAATTCCTAACCATGCATACGGTACGTGTGCACTGCTGTAAACTGGATTTAATAATGATGCCCACGATAGACAAATGAGTACAGAAGCACAGCAGCGAGCAGAGCAGATGCAAATCTCAAGCCATGAGCGTGAGCTCCTGAACGGGCCAAATGCACACAGTTAATTCAGACACCATCTTACTTCAGTTTCCCTCCCAGTGCCATTCCAATAAAAGACTGCCACGATATTGATTTGGCATACAAGATCTTCTCACATCAGACACAGATGTTCAAGCTTAGCCCTTCTTTGCTCCTTTTTGGTCAAAGAGTGGTTGTTAGGTAAGCAAAGTATGTAATTTGCTGTACTAGGCTTGCATACGTTTCAGTTTTGCAGTAAATGTGCTTAGTGAGACAAGAGCTGTACTTCTGTACATTTTTTTAACCGGACTTTTGATTTAAGACGACTACCTGGGCTCGATTCTTTTGCTGGGGGAGAGGAGTGGGTGGGTGCCATATTTTCTGATGGAAAGTAATTCCAGAAAGGCGGGGTATGCAAGTAGAAGAAAAATACCCAAATCCATTTCACGACAGAAGCCACGGCAGCGGGAAGTGCCACCGCTGGCAACAGCTCGCCTCATCTTCCTAACCGTCTCCTGAGCGCACCCCGTGGCTCGGGCCCAGCCACCATTACGCACCACACGAAATCTGACCTTCCGCCTATACCCTTGCCAGCAACCTGCTCTGTTGAATCAGGAAGCAACCACCTGATGCTCAATCTCATTCCACTCATTAGTCCTTGCCTGCAGCTTGCGTACACAGAATTAAATGTTTATGCACCCTGCCTGTTCTGAGTGCTGCGAGTCGTCTGCAAGAGCCTTGGTATCGCGACTGAGGTGGTGCAGCACTGTGCAGTGGGAAAAGAGTTGTAGTAAGAAAGGATATTATGATGTGCTGTGAGTCCTGCAGGAGTTCATGCTGGAGTCACTTGGTTTAAGCAGAGCTTGGTGTATTGGGGCTTTCTGCGACAAGCATGATTGAAAGCCGTTCTGGAAAACTAGATGTGCATTCTTCGTTGAGGCTTCCTGAATTATAGTATTAAACAGTACTAATGACCTTATACTCAATACTCTGATGCAGCTTTGCATTAGCTTCATTAATTAACTTCAGCACCACTTATCCCCCTATTTAACCAAATAAAAAAGACAGCCCATTGAATCAACTTCTGGATACACATTAAGTGTGCAAGAACCCACAGCCACTTCGGTATACTTGGAGGCCGTTACAATTTGGAGAGCAGACTGTGATTTTATGGAGTGCAAAGGCGGCCCATGCTACAGGATTTCTCTCTCTTTTCACGCACCCTCTTCTCTGCCCTGCGTGTTCAGCAAGCCACGCAGCAGGGCAGGAGCACCCCGCGCTCGTGACTCCCCTGGCGACGGCAGCATCCCCGACCAGCCCAGCTGTGAACCGCATTGCGGGCTAGCACAGGAGGGAGGCACCTCGGGCTCTGGCACGGCTTGTGGGAACCGAACCTGCGCGGCTCACAGAGGAGGGACCAGGTGGCCGCAGAGCCCTGAAGACACCGTACACTTCCAGGCAGATGCCTCTGAATGAGCATTTGTTTCTCCTGGAGCAGCAGCAGGTGACTCGCCAGATGTGGTGGTTGTGCCCAGACATCTGGAATCCTCCTTGGAGAGTCAGTGATGAGTTAACACTCACCTGAATGAAAGTCAGGGACCCACTTAGCCCATCCCAGGCTTTGGGGTTCCCCCCCGCCCTTTCCTGACTTTCTGAAAAGACCCTCAAGCTTTTATACGAGTATTATTTTCTCCCAGAATCCAAAAATTCAGGTTGCATCATGTAACGCTCCAGACCACGCTGCTAGGATAGGGCTCTGCAAAGGAAGGAGCAAAGCAGCAACAGTTCAGGTCTCTGATTAACCCTTCATGTGTCACAGAGTGAGAAAAGTTGGCACAGACAATATACTAATCACTCCAGTTTTAATCGATATACCTGGCCTCCTCCTTCTCTATTTAAAAATCAATTCTCTGAGCTAATCAGCATCTGGCTTTTACATTTCCTGCCTGTGAAAGACTGAATATTCCCCAAAAGGCTGAGCATGCCCGGGTGCACAACAGGAACTGAATCAGCCCCAAGGCAAAGCACTATCCAGTGCATGACAGGGCAGGAATTGGCAGTATACCCAAAAAACCAACAAACCAAAACAAAAAAAGGAGAAAGCACTAACATCTTCACCTTGATCCTTATTTGATCCTCATTCAGAGATTTAGGTTTAAGAAGGCTTTTAGAAAACTTTACTGAAAAGCTTGGAATCTCATGAGCAGACTCTGTATCTCATGGCTGTGCAGAAATGAAAAACAGGTCACAGTATGGAGACGTGCAACATGACTGAACAGAGATGTGAGGAATTATGTATAAAAATTTGGAATGATCCTTTCTGACATCGCTCAGATCAGGAAGCAGCCGGAGCAGTAGGGATGCCACAATTTGACACTTAGATGTGACGTTTCACAGGCTGGTGTTTCAGTTACTGTGGTTAGTTTAATTATTTACAGGGATGCTGTTTACCTTTTTTCTTGTGAGTCAGCTTCAAATTGAAACGTGAACTGTTACATACATTCATTCACAGCATGCCAATAGTCGAGTGTTTAAAATTTCGGGATGAAGACATTATCGGATCTGCTACACATAAAATTTTTATTTCATTTGTAATTTACAACTCTATGTCAGTGGCTATTGTCAATACAACTGTTTTAAATATAGTAGCTACATACAGCTGTGGATGCTGCAGCGTGATAGCAGGAAGAGCCTGCATGTAAGCTTTCCTATGAAAAAAAAAAAACCCCTCACTCCCACATCTAGCAAACATAAAAAGCTGTGTGAGGCGCAGTAATCAGCACCGAGGTAATCAAGTCTCGGGAACCTAAGCCTTCATAGATTTTATAGTATCTGGAATATCTGACCATCCAGCCATATAATTATATGTGCTAGATAGTGGAGATAGCAGGTTTTGAGGGTGACCTTGAAGGGGAGGTTTCTGAAACAGCACATTAACTGTGGGAGAGGTCTCTAGCAGGACATCAGGCGTGCTGTTTTCCAGATCCTAGCCTTTGGGCAAAATGAATTTGGGTGTCTCTTGTAAAGCAAGATTAATGTGTGCATGGGGAATGAAACGGGTCGGTGAACAGGAGGAGGATTTCAGGATAAAACAGTATGTTTGTGGGGAAACAGATGCATCCTGCAATCCCCACTTAATAACGCTGCTGGCCCCTCTCCGGACCTCATCAGCATGTCTCTCGCAGCATGGAGGTGAGGCGGAGATCAGCACTTGCAGCTGCTTGGCTGCTTGGAGAGCGAGTGACTCAGCCTGCAAGCAATCAGTGAACAACAGAAACCTTCCACCTGGGCACATGCTCCTTAACATTGCGTTTGTTCTGCCTCCCCTGAAGTAGTGGCTGTTTCTATCTATAATTTGCAGTTGGGGAAACTGAGGCACAGGGAGGATGTGGCACCCCAGACTTACACAGCCACTCCGTGACAGAGCTGAGGATGTTATCCAGACCTCCTGCCGCTCACTCCCAAGCTTTAGCCAGAACATAATTTCCCCAGACCTTCTCAGACACAATCTACGCGACAGTTCATGCTCGAATGTAGATTGAAAATAGTTCTCTCTTACCTACATACATCACTCCTTCTTTAGTCTTCTCTGCAGCCTCCGTCACTCCCTGCTTGGTCTTCTCTGCAGCAGCCACCACACCTTCTTTAGCAATGGAGAAACCTTTCTTAAAGACATCCATTCTTGTTGCTTGCTAGGGTATTACCTGGACAATCTGAGTGAGGGACAGCAGCAAAAACCAGCTCAAGACTGGGACTGCAATACGCAGCCTTACCCTTGGTGGATACTCGGTTTCTCTGCCGGTCTCTTGTCTTTGCTCTTACTCCTCTGCTGGATGAAGGCAGTGTGGCAAACCTCACAGCCTTTGCCGGCTCTTATTGATGAAGTGCGCTGCAGTGTAGCCAATGCCTGTGAACAGCTGATACTGAAATATTAATGATATGGATCTGCTTGGGAAGACTTAAGAAGGGAGGGGGAGAGGAGGAGGAGGAGGAGGAGGAGGACATCGGTAGGTAAGGGACTGTCTGGAAAATTTCCAGACAGATAAAGCTTTTAAAATATGCTGCAATGCTCTCACTCCAGGATGCTCTCATGTGAAGACGGAGACTTTTTATCTGAAGAGCCGAGTTCCTGAAAGGGCATCTCCCCAGGGCTGCGGCAGGAGGCAAACACAAGCTCTCCTGGGTTCCCAGAGGCTGGAGAGCACGGAGAGCTGGTGGTGTTCGTAATAAACAAACAGGGTCAGGTTTCTTAGGTCTGGCAGTTACCAGAACCCAGCCTGCAAAAGAACGTAGCAAGAACATTATTTCTAGTAAATACTGAGAGAAAAAGAAGCCAGCTAGAGCTTGGTGCTCAAGTGAAGGGAGCTGGAAGTCCCACTTGCCATGTTTGTCAAGTCTGAAGTTGGCCCCTCAAGGCATTTAGTATAAATTACGGTTTTTGCTCAGCTGCACATCCCATTACAATAGTTCATTTCTGAAAAATCAGATGCCTGTTGGGGGAAATCCTGTTTCCTATTTGTTTCTCTGAGTTGCTGTAGACAGAGCTGCACCACTGCAGAGTGAGACGACATTTTACACCGACGCCATTGCTCACGTCAGAGGTCTGTGCTGCAGAGCACAGCGGGGCAAGAAAATCATCCAGCTGAGAACTGACTTGGGAAATCTTACAGTTTGCATAGAGGATCAAGGCCTCGCTAGGAAGAAATACCAAAATGTGTGATCATTAATCACAGCCGGATATCCTAATGTGCTTAAAGTTAAACTCAAGCTAAATTGTTTTCTGAAGTAGATTCTGAATGGCCCAAATTGGCTATTGTGCCACTAGCACAAACTGAAATTCAGCGCAAGCACCCATGAAAGCCATTACTGCTGCAACAAGATGATTATTTATTTTTACTATTATTTAATGGCGCCCTGTCTGAGATTATGGAAGCCATGGAGCACTGGTCTCTGAGCACAAACCCTGACCAGCTTTGGCTGCTTTTCCTTACCAGGCAATCAGAATACGAAATTCAGAGGTTTAACTGCGTTATGGGAGGGTAGCACACCGTAACGTCCTGAAGTGTAGTCGTCCATAAGCCACTGCTGCCACAAGTTATCAGCCTGGAACGGTCAGATGGGGAATGACTACAGAGAAAAGACAAAAGTCTGAATAAAAAAATGACACGTGTGTACATATATGCAGACATGTACACAAACATAGCTCTTCTTGCTGTAGAAGTAAGCTTATTTCTTTAGGTTTTGGGAGCATTTTTTTACTCCATACCAAAACAATTGAAAGACTGTGGATCTGGAAAATAACACAGATTTCTTAATCATTTTTTCAAAAATGGGTCTCCTTACTTATAAATGAAGAACTACTAATTTCCATTTGAATGTAGAGGAGCCAAATCTCTGACAGACTAATACATTTATCAATTGTTAATTAAAAAAGTGCAAGATTCAGAGGAAGGCCATCACAACATACCAATTATTATAAAAGCTCTCATTGTTCTGGACTGTTGCAGCAAGGAGTGAAAAAAGGTTTTTCTTACCATCTTTCAAAGTTTTCTTTAGGTGGCTGATTGACTGCTATCCAAGGTGCACAGCTGGTGCTCGTTTCTGCTCCCAGTGTATTGTTAAATTGAAGATATATGTGTCTTATCGTATCACATGACCAGTGCTTTAAGCTAGTTGCTCTTGGAGTCAGTCACAAGACTGCCATTGATTTCCTTAGGCACAGGGCAGGAGTCTTGTTTTTACTACATTTGGCAAAAAGTGAATTTGCCATCTTTGGGAATTGCTACTGGGCCCATTTCCTTTTTCACTAGGCTTTCAAAGAGCATTAAAGCAGAACACAGCACTGCCTAGGGTTATGGGTTTTACTGGTATTTTCGGGATAATGCCTAGCCTGTAAGGCTGAGCGAGAAGTATGTTTTGATTTTGTGAAGCTATTGTTTTGTCATTGTGATTTGTACAATTGAATTCTACATATTTTGCATTGCTATAAAAGGTAACAAATACATGAAATATATGGGATGTGAAACATGAATCATCACCAGATTGAATTAGCCAGTACTTGAGTGGGATACTCCTTTCCTGCATTCTCCTCTCCCGATGACCTTCAGAAAGGGCTCCCAAGAGGCATTTAAATGCCGTTGGATCACTCCCAAGGCAGCAGGCAGTTTGCACAGGCATTGTTTTACCTTGAAACCCTTTTAGGAAAGCTCTGGACTCAGGACAATGTTGTAGGTGATCTATAAAGGGCAAGCATCAATAAAGGCTCCTGAAAGTTTGCCACCCCATGGCAACTGTGGTACCCTATTTCTATTCTAAGCAGAGGATTCAGTTCCGATTTGTTGCCAATCCTGCCTCAGACAAACCTAACAACAGGAGGTAATGTATGAAACTTGGCTTTCAGATTTTGCGAGGATCTCAACTTTGTGCCTGAAAAACAATTTTTCCCTTGTACTAGATAACATAATCAGCAGCTAAAGAGATGCTCCTCCAGTGGGCAATTCAGAGAACCCAAGTTCCCATCTCACCTGGCAGTAACCTCTTTTTCTCTGTAATCTACCTTGGGACACTGGGGAGAAGTCACTTAAGCTAGACATTAAGTTCCCATTTTTTTTCTATTGAGTTTCATTCGTATCACTTTGTAAACAAATTTGTATCTCACAAACATCCACATAACAACAAAAGAAAGTCTCGCCTTGATATCTGCAATGACAAACCATCCAACTGTTGTTCATTTGAAGTCGGAATTCTGTCTGCTCAGGCTTGTTCATCGAGTCTCTTGCTGCATAACACAGTAGTTTCTAGAGTCTCCAAAAGGTGCAGTTCCCCACCTCCCACGTGCCTAAACCTCTCTCTGGGTGTTGGGTGCTCATATCTGGAAGCAGGCCTGTGCAATGCCTGCCAGTAATTCTGAAATATGGGCAAGACAAGTCTAACTGAAGTCTACCTATTCCCAAAGCACAGAGACGCGGCAAAGAAAACAATGCAAAGCAGAAATCAAGATTCCCTGTTCTCTACTGCCTGACTTTTCTCTGCATCTGCAACAGATTAAACCAGGATTTTACTTAATTTGTGTCTCTTCCCTCTTTAATTTTCCCAATTGCAACAAAACCTTAACCTTGTCCTTGGACGATGAACTTATGATGGAGACTATCAGCCAACAAAGGCATCTCGCTGGATGAAAGGAGTGGGATTTAGTCATATTCTATTGAAGTATTTAAATGGTGTATGATGTTTGAAAGACAGGTAAGGAAAGGAACGACAGACTGCTTTTGTGGCTGGTAAATATCCTTTGTTTAGGAAGTTTTTGTATGGAGAATAATATTAACAGGATCAAACCTTGCTCTACATAAACAGAAATCTTCCCTCTCTCTCTGCCTCTCTGTTTATGAAAACTTCAAAATGCCCAAAGGAGAACTGTCTCGGATCATTCATTTTCATGCCGTAACGAAAACAAGCAGTTCTGTCTGACATCCTCTTGGCAAACAGTTTAGGACTTGAATCCCTGCAAGTACGTTTGCATAGTTAATGAGTAATTTCCTCTGCCAGGGAATGAATAGCGAGAAGGCTGACGGACGAGCCATTTTTAAGGCACACATACAGCGAGCACAGTGCTGCCAGTACAGCGCTCAGCAGTCTTCCGTGACCGATCTCTGCTGTTGAATACCACTGATAGCTTTTGAGCAAACTAATAAAAATACAGTCAAGAAGAATTCATCTTCCTCCTCTGAAGGACAGACCACTGAAAGGAATCTTTCCTAGCCCAGCAGCTCCCCTCCTGACACTCCTCTCCCCTTGCTCCCCTTCCCGGAGCTGCTGCACAGGCACGTGTGCGCATCGGCAGTGGGCAGGGAATGAGACAGCATTTTCTGGATCTGAAAACCAATGCCTAATGAGAAGTTATCTCCTTGCCGTGCAGCTATCAACAAAACTGTCCTATTCATCTTCCCAGACATAAAATCCTTTCAGTTAATTCAGTCTGCTTCAGAGATTTGGTGCTGGGATATATGAATCTAAAGCAACACATGCTTATTAAAATAATTCCAGCTTTTCAAACATTTTTTCCAAGGCTTTTTTTTTTTTTTCCTTTTACTTACTCAGATTCTGAATTTAAGGCCATAATATAGATTTAAGAGCATTATGGAGCAGGCAATTAATCTGGGAAGACACAAAACAAACAAACAATGGAATCTATTCACTGAAAATTTAATTTCTACGGGCTCTTTCTTCAGAGGGAAACCGACTGGAATAGCCAGTGTGTTTACTTTCCAAGTACGTACAAGCAATTTATCAAGCGTATTGTTTGGCACTGTTTACTGCGTGGTCACCCATCTCCTATTGAACTGTAGCTGCAGGGCTCTGAGTCTAAACAAACAGAAAGGGGCCAAGACGAGATTTTACATCTTGTGCAGGTTATCCAGAAGACGGTGACGCTATTTGACAACTTGATTATGGAACTGCAAACAGGACATTGAATTCTTGGGGTGGGCAACATTGGAGGGGGTTAAGAGCTATGTTTAATGTAAGTTGTTATAATTACCAGACAAGGCAAGAGTAGTCCTGACAGTTGTCTGCAAGATTCCAGGGCATACCGATGAAACTGGTGGCAATATCAACTCTTTCAAGACTGAAAACAGTTTGAAGAAGCATTTCTCAGAAATACTTGGGGTAAAAGTATTTTCATGAATAAGGACACAGGAAAAAAAAGCCACTAATGACTAGGGACCAAGAGTGGAGCAACAATATCTGTCACCTGTCCAATTTAGTTGCCAAAATAGAAAGCAAGTGGGGCGGGTTTATTTGGCTACCTATTCTGAGAACAGCTAAAAACTTTTGAGAAGTATCAGGGC